ATTTTATCAGGTTATTTCACTGCTTGCTATTGATTATTATAAAATTAAAAAAAAATCAAAGTATTTTATGCCAGTGTAAGAGCAATAGAGTACCAAATGTTTTGTAAAGTTCCTACCTATTGTTATCCAAGTAAGTAATGATAATTCATTATATTTTTATACTTGTGTAAAATCTTTTATTTGTAAATTGCTTCAGCAGACATTTTTGATTGGTTGATAAACAATTCTATGTAAACATATCATGTTACAAAGAATATTGTACCATGTATAGAAATATTTTTTACTTTTTTATGAAAGTACAGCATCTGTTTTGGAAGTGTCCCTAATTAATATGTATAGTAACACCATTATAATGTATGAAAATAATCTGTAGAATATATGTAAATAAAATTATAAATTTTACAATTATATATAATTATATAGAATTATTAGAGAAACAATGTATCGGGTGTATAAATAACACAGAATAAATAAATAAAATTGCCAAATGGTTATTTATCTTTTGTCCAATTTATTGTTAGAGAAGTTGAAAATTACGATTGATTTGTCCTCAAAATGTTTATTAAATTACCAGAAAATTGTTGCCACTAGAGGCTTAAAATAATAAATTTTCGTGTTTGTCTTTTGTAAGAATTGCTTGTAATTAGATAGAATCATTTTCTTTAACAAATAAATAATAGACAATGTTAATAAAGTTTGTTGTAAAACAATTAATGTTCTCTATTTGCAATTACTATAACTTTTTTGTTGGTAACTTATAGTTTAATTTAAGAAAAAATTAAAAATTACCATCTCTTTCATATTGTATCCTAGTAACAATACCTTAATTTTCAATAATAAAATTACTCAGATTTCATATTCACGCAGCTAGAATTTAAAATAATTTCCCATGAATAAGAAAATTAAATATGACATATTAAAATGAATCATATTCATGTTTAAGCATGGATAACTTAAGCTTTTGCCATGCTAAATTTCACATACACACAAATATGTTTTCCAATACTCAACCTTGATCCAGTATCAACAAACTGGATAAGAAGGAATTTAGTACCGTCTAGATATTAGACCTTGTGCTATATTAAGTATTGTGTTATATGAACTTTTTATAGAGCTGACATAAACTGGGTTCAGCATGTTTCTCACAACTCAGCCCCACTATCTATGAAAAAATCATCATAAATTTTGCAGTGTTCTATGCATTATATCCAGAGCTGACACTAGAGTGTATGCTGTCTGGGTCAAGATATGCATTTGATGCCCCTTATTCCTTACATAAAGTAAAAAAAATTTTGTTTTTAAATACCATAACTTGCTCCATTAATCAATATTCAACTTGCACATGTAATATAAATATAAATAAAAAAAATATTTAAAAAAGTAATATGCCTAAAAATTTTGTATAAATTATGAAAATTTGCTGTCCTTGCCATTTGCCCCTGGCAATGCCCAGTTGCCCCTATGTTAGCACTAGCTTACATATCTGTAAACATATGATACTATCTATTAGATAGTATCATATGTTTACAGTAAATTCAATTGCAGAATATATACTGTAGTTAAAAAATAATAAACTAAAAAACCTAAAAAATAAGACTGTCAAGTGCTCTTGCACAAGTTTTCCAGTACCAATAATTTACAAAATTAGTGTGTGTGTAACATCATATGTTATGAGATTTTATTAAAAAATAATTTATAATATTCGTTATTATAAAAATGCTATTGGCTTATTTTTGGGGTAGGAGTAAGTGTTTAAAGAAATTGTAAATGCTAATAACAAGTAAATCCTTAATTACATCTGATCCCATTGGAGATATGATGCATGACTCCCCCTCTATCTCCCCACCCCTTGACCTTTAACTCCTAAAATTTAATAGCATCAATATGCCATAAATAGAAATAACCCTGCCGAGTTTCAATGTTATGTAAGGGCATTTCTACATTTTTTGGGCTCCTGGAGTGTTAAAGTGTTAAACTCAAAAAGTCCAGGGGAGTTAAGATTTTGGCTTATCACCATACTTTCTCTATGTTATATTCTATAATAGCCAAGATTCTTTTTATGTAAGAATTGAATAGCTGATCTATTAATTAATGGATAACAACTAAAATACAAATCCTTTCATAATTATTTTCCAATAAATACAAGAAGGAACGTTTGACAGGAAAAATGTTTAGTTATATATACTTAAAAATAATAATCTTTGAAATGATTAACTTATTTTGTTGAAGAAACAGCATGTCTCCCAATAGATTTAATAATTGGAGCATTAGGCACTTTAGAAAGAATACAGATTTGACTAATTCACAGCTAAATGTGTCACTGTTCAGCTATGCCAGTGTGAAAAATATGCTATAATGACACAGAGGCTCATAGTTTCAGAGTTTATTTCTGGAATTTTCAATGTGCATCAAAACTTCTAGACACAAACTCTCTTACCTGATGTTCTGCATCAGTTCATACAGACTAGTTCAAAGATCACATAAGAGAACTTAATTCTCAGACACCTAGCTTCATGATACTAAAGCTCAGGTAGTACTATTATTAATGTATTAGTTTTTATCTTTGTCTTTCAATTCTAATTTTATTCCTAAAGATTTTTTAAATAGATGTTTTATTATGTATTGTTATAAAATTTTAATATCTACAAGTATATTAGTTAAGCTTTTATTATAGCATTATACATAATTAAACATAATGTTGATATTTTTTAATATTTGGATTTGATGATGCGAAATTTTATGAACATTTTCTTATTGGGCTGCAATTTGAAAAAAACTGTAGACCTATAAATTTCTATCCTCCGTTTGTCCATCTGTCTTTCCATAATCTTGAGAATGGAGTTAGATAGATGAAATCCGAGACTATATATGGAAACCTTAGGGGCAGGAGACCCTGATTAACTATTTATGAAGTTTCAATGCAAACTGGAAGTAACGTTATTTCAATTCAAAAGTTTTCTCCAGAAAGCAGTTAATAGATATCCGGCAGGACTCTTGTTAAAGGAAAAGTATGATGTACAGGGGCAAGCCACTACTAATTTGAGGTGGAAAGCATATATTTTAAATTTATTTAACTATGCAGCTTGTCATTGTGACGATGTCACAATAAATAATTGCTCGTTTACATTATTTTTACATTAATATAAGCCTATATTTTTTTACAAAAACTATTTACTTAACCAATTTAAAGATGTCAAAGATATTTTTATAAATTTTAATATACTTTAAATTAAATTTGAAGTGTATGCTTTTTAATTAATAAAATATTAAAGAAAACAACAAAAATATAGATTTTTACATTAATTTATTTACCATTAAAATTACATAATCTTACGTAAAACAAATAAATATATATAATTTCTTAATAATTACTCACATTCTTAATAAATATATCACCATTTAATCCTTTTGTCGTTTAAATTTTTTTTGGAAATTTTTAGCATTTTACATAAAATAATACTATATTTTATAAATTTAAGATGATATTTATTAGTTTTTTTAATGTAATAATTCAAACTATAAAGGCAAATTGCAATATTTACAAAAATTTCGTTTCTGATTACGTTTTGCAACTTTTTACTTAACTATTAGATTTCGGTTTGACATTACATATGAATGTAGCTCGCGTCCTACTTATTGAGGAACTCTACTTAGGTCATTGACTAGTATCGTAGTTGATAACTTTTTAAATAAATAAAAATCTAATTTTGGCACGAACCGTTTTATGTAAAACACTTCCAACTGTCTTATTTTATGTATGCATTTAGGAAAAAGTGCATACTTAAATTTTAAATGAAACTTAAGATGAGGTTTTGTGTAAAGGAGTTTTGCATCATCGTGATGCGGAAAGGAGTAATTAGTGCCGAATGATAATTCAAGATCCAAATCTCTATAAATGTGGTTACAAATTTATTAAATAAATAAAACAATTATAAAAAATACATAGATTTTTAATTTTCTTGACAATAATTATCAATATAATCATGATCAAACACTACTTGACCATAGTTATATTGATCCTTCTAGTTGTTTCCAGTGTTTTATAACATAATCATAAAATTTCAGTTTTTTTTAGCGATCTTAAATACCACTCTCCATAACAGAATGTCGTAGAGTACATTACAAGATTTTACAATTACCATAAAAGCATACTTCTGCGGTAATTACAAAGTATGGTGAACACCAGTGCCGTAACTAAAGGCAGAGACTAGGACAAAGGAGTCCTGAAATAAGGTATCAAAAATCATCGTAATTTTTTCAAAATAAGAGGGCCAAAAATAAAATTATGCACAGGACACTTGAAAAACCTAGTTACTACACCTATAAGTGTGATCATACTCAAAGAATTACCATACTTACTTCTGTAAGTATGGTAATTCTATGGAGATAGTAAGAAATCTAATCTTGTGCCATTCAGTTATTTTTCAACGCGTGAAATCATAAAGCGAATGACACAATATATTTATATTTTGGTTCCTTATGTAGAAAGATGCGCTCGTTCTTCCGTATACGAGTATTTGCTTTACCATGGAAAAGTAAAGTTTAACTCGTTTCTATTCGATCTTTAGGTGTTAGAGACAAGAGTACAAGAATTGATTATAAAAATAAGATTCCCCCTATTTTCCAAGAAATATCGATCCTTAGAAAATCACCTTTTATTGATAGATAACTTATAGTCGGATACACACGACTTACGTCATAAATTGTTTTTTTTACAAGCGATTTTCATCTAAAAATGTTTTCTACAAAAAGCTCATCTCGCAGAATTTAATACCCGATTACTTCTCACTATTTCCATTTCGATAATTTTATAAAATATTAAAAGTTTCTTAATAATAACAATACCGAAAACTTTTTGGAATGTCATTTTTTAATCACCATTGACATTTAATAAAACTAAAACAAAAATTAAAAGATAATTTTGTATAATACATTGGAGGATATGTAGTTATTCATAAAATATACATCTAAAAAACACCTTTTCTAATAAATTGTTATATAATTTTTTTTTTGGTTTTACGTATTTGGAATGATGATAATTATCATATTTTAACTATATATACATAGAGAAATTATTTTATAATTTGTGCCAGTATCAATCTAGTAGTAAAAGAGATGAATTGATAGGACAAAATCTCCCAAATGGAAGGCAAACTTGTTTCTTTCCGGAGATATTTGGATATAAAAATTCACATAATAATGTAAATAATTACCATTCTTTAATTTGTTTAATTAAAATCGTTTTGAAAGTCTAATCATTCTATAGAAAGACTAAAATTTTGCATGATTTTTTCGGATTGAATATTGTAAAGTAAAATTTTTTCCAATCAGATTTTTATTTTAAATAACTACGGAGCTAAATTTATGGAAAAATGAAAGAAGAATGCCTGTTTATGCGATCATAAAAGAAAAATATCAGTCTGTGAGATCGCAATTTATCGAATATCGTACGCAAAATGCTCCACAGTTTCACCATTAAATCATCCGTAATACGTCATTGTGACTATTAAAATTTTAATTTTTAGTTACATTTACAATGGTTTATAAGTTAGTAAATCAGTATTAATGACGATAGTCTCATAAACGTTTTTTAAAACGAGAAATAAAATATTTAAACTTAGAATTGTCTGTTATTTGGTTACTATTTGAACTCAACTTCCAATTAAAATTCATTTAAATTCAAAAAGTCGAGTTTTTCGTTTTTATTTTCAGTTTATCTTCTCAAAAAAAAGAATTATAATAATAAATGTTTAGTTTTAATCTCCAAATATTGTGCGTATTAATAATAATTTGTTAAAAAAACGACCGCTCTCACAACGTTTTGCTTTGTATATCTGCACTGGAATGCCTCTTCAATGTCGAAGGCATCAAACTGGGCACGGTCAGACTGTTTGTCTGGACGCTTTCCTTTAGAATAAGGCTTAAATTCGGTACCGTGGACAAATAAGGTGACGCATTTGGTACTTGAAGGGTGTTGTAAGCCGATGATCCGGTAGCGGAGGAACAGCTGCTAAGTCGATGCTCCTTGCAACCTGTAGTTTAATGGGAAGAAAAAGCCTTACAAAATGGAAAAGGAAATGATAATTTCCGAAAAGAAGTCGTACGACATACAAAAACACGGGAAATTAACTACAGTTTGGATGCTTCCAACTTCTGTTAATTTTTTTAAAAATACTCTAATCCCAGTGATGTATTTTTAGGAAGATGCAGACCAACGATTCCCAATCTTTTTAAATAGGAAGATCCTAAGATGATCATTTTCTCAATCTAGTGCCTTAGAAATTCGAATTCCGGAAGTTTTATTTAAATATTTTACCCGTATTTTTCTATTATACTACACGAAAGAATTAGCAAAAACAAATTAATACCCTCGAATGTCCGCGGAACACAAGTTGCAAATCGCTGATATAGGCCTAGTTTTAGAAACTGAAATTTATCACGTGTTTCTAGTAATATTTTTGATTTATTTAATCCATTTTTTTTTTAAGTCTAAGACATTCAAATTTTATTACAATAAAGATTCTATAAAAATCTAATATTGATTATTTGATTAGACTTGATGTTCTTTATAGTTATGTGACAGATTTCGGAGGAAAATTGTCCTAATAAATTTCACTTAAGAATATCCAGAAGGAATTTCGGAATTGTGAATGCCGAGAATGTTGACATCTCTAAAAATAAATGGAAAATTATTTAAATTTCTCGAATTTTTTAAAATTGATTTCTGTCTCGAAACTTTGGGTGTGTGCGGGGGAGGGAATTTAAAAGAAAAAAACAAGACATTCGCTATTCGTAGAAAGTGTTATTTGTTTCAGATTTATTCAATCTGTGAGAAAAATAAATTTTAATTTATATCTACGACAAGATGTCGATAATCGGCATCACTTAGACTACTGAATGTCGCCAGCCATCAATGAAGCTGATTATTAGTGAGTAGTTGAGTGACATTGAGTATTAGTGTGTCGATTGTCCTTGTTGTCGTCTAAATTTAATTTTCCTACTCGCTCGCAAGTAATTGTTTCGGAATTCTATTCATCCTATCATGAAAAAATTTCGTACTATATTTAAAATATAGCAGTTTTTTAAACCATTAACTAAATTAATAATTAAAAACTTACATGAGAATGACCAGTTTAATCGATCTCTTATCGGAAAATTTAAAACTTTAACTGCTTAAACAAGATGTTCGGTACACTTGTAAAGTAGCCTACAACCTCGATATAACGCCTATGAATACTTGCGAACGGATCTTCCCCATCAGGCCACAACTCTAATATTTATGGAGATTATCCACGAATTACTAAATATACGATTTTGCATTGCAAACGACATTATTATCAGCAAATTCTGCAGTTTAGCGCCTGTTCGATTTAGTGTTAATTTTAAAGGCGAAAAAATGGTGACGTTAAATCAAAGTTTGATTGTACATTACTTACAAAAGATTTAAAATTGATTTGTACAACGATTTTATCGCTGAGAACTTTCTAAACTTTTTTTTTTTTTTCTGCATTTGTAAAAGATGAATTAGTCGAAGTGATGCTGTTTTGTAAAAATTTACAATACAGGTTTGTAAGCAACAATATAAACGTGTTTCGTATTTAACTTGATCACTTTTGATCAATGAGCCTTTTTAGTCTATTTTAAAATGGAGTAAAATAAAGTTTAAGTTGGTACTCACCTCCATTAATGAGTATAGAAGGAGTAGAAGGCCCTAGAGACGACGACGTTTGCGCCAAGTTGGAATTTCGATTATGATGACACATGACACTTTCTTTGGTATTTTTTTCCGGTTTCAATAGAGCAATATATACTTTCGGCATGAAGAGGCATGACAGTTGTACGGCCCCACTTAAACTCAGAAGAAAACTTAAAGTTACCACACGTATTGCGTTACTCGTGCTCAAAACGAAAAGAGGAAGAAAAGCCAACCAGATAACACAAGTGGTATAATTTGTGAATGTCAAATATCTAGCTTCGTTAAAACCGTCCGGACATTTTCTGGTTTTGAAAGCGTAAACGGTACAGAAACCGATGAGAACGAATGGATAAATAAGTCCAACTAGATACGAGGGTGTATCGGATCCTAAACAGATCAATAAATTGGCTTCTCGAGAAGGATGTATTCGAGTAACTGCCGGTCTGTCGTAAAGTAACCAAATGGTATTGATGATGACTTCTATAGATACCAGAACTGCCGTTATGATGAGTTGCGACTGTGGACTAGTGTAACGGGGTTTCTGACACGGTCTTCGTCTTCTCTGGTTAAATATCCGAGCGATGCGATTAGTCTTCGTAACAATAGCTGCATAACATAACGTGTAACAGAATCCTAAAAAGAATCTTGTAAGTCCACACGTAAAAGCCGATGGTTTGGCAACGATGATGAAGGTCATACCAAATGACAAGAATATTCCTGTTAGCAGAAGGTAACTCAGTTCTCTTCCTGATGCTTTAATAAGGGGAGTATCGCTGTAAGCCCAAAATACTAAAGTGACAAACGCGGTTAACAGTATGCCCATTCCTGCAAATGCCATGGTTCCCACTGCCCATGGACTCGTATAATTTAAATAAGCTTCCGGTATCGGTATGCAAGTAGTCTTGGTAAAACTCGGTAGAGTTCCCAAAGGGCAATCTTTGCAATGATACTCATCCGGTAAATATTGATATTGGGAGCAATTGGTGCAGAGCCAACAACAAGTGTCTCCTTCCAACTGTAATTTAGCTTGTCCGGTACGACACGGTTCGCTACAATAGGATCTGGGAAACGATGGCTCTTGAAATTTGAACCTCATGGCATTGATGTCCAAGTCTAATTTAGCTTCTCCATCGTCACCTACTTTAATACGTAAACAAAATGCTGATTTAAAATTTGGGTTAAATCTATTTAAATCAAAGAATTATGAAGTGAATTAATATTGTTAAATAGTGATTTCATAAAAATGAACGATGTTAACTAGTTTATTATGCAATAGATTCGGACTATTTTACTTAATTTAATCTTTATTGTCAAGTGATTTGTCCTCCTTTTCACGTAAATTTGTCCTTGAACTATAATTACTGTGTATATTTCTTTGGTTTATGATGCAACTATAAAAACTAGGATACTAAACTGAGTACTGTAGCTACTACAAGTCGACCCCCTATAACACTGTTGATTTTTCCCTTTTATATGAATTCCATGTTGTACGAGTCACTTAGATTTTACAAATATGTGAGCCGTCACAGCCCGGCACACATATTTGTAAAATCTAAGTGACTCGTACAACATGGAATTCATATAAAAGGGAAAAATCAACAGTGTAATAGGGGGTTCGACTTGTACTCGTTGTGTCGACCAGCAATGGTTTTAGTCTTAATGCAGCACTTTCATAGTGCAAAAAAACGAAACCTAATGCACTTGTGGTACTGTACTTTAATCGAAAAGGTAATTTCACTATTCAGTTTAAAAAGGCACAATTTTAATTAAAGACATTCGGCCTATAAATTATTTCCAGAAGTAGAAATATTGATATACAGTAATACAAAATGATTCCAATATAAAATATCATTAGCCACTTTTACGTTGGAGCAATTTTTTTTTTTCTGTTCTCTGTTACCGGTGATACTTCTTACCAGTTATAAATTGACCTTTTCTTTACATTGAAATTGTGTACATAGTTTCGTAACAAAATTTAATAAGTTTTATACAAAAGTTAACATAGTTTTATAACAAAGAGATTTCTTTGTTAAAATAATTTATTATGTTATATAATCAATCAAAATAGAAAACTGTTCTACTTACGCAAATAAGTTCCCACGGATCTCCAAGAAAAGCTTCCGTTGGGTAATTTCTGATAATTGATGATGCTGTATCTGGGAGGAGCATCTCCACTCGGAAGAAATCGGAACTTTTTACCACTTTCGTCTATAAAAGATCGAATATTTCGCCAATTTTGGATCACAACAACGAAAATTACATGTAGGAGCTAAAGGGAAGTTTAATGGTACGACTGCCAGTCTTTTATTGACAAAACTCTTTAACAGATTTAACTGAATAGTTTTTAAAATAATTATTTCTTGAGCTTTTATAAAAATTAATTCTCATAATCTCTACATAAAAAATAAATCATACTTTTATACTGAAACATTTAAAATCAATTATAGTATGATCCTATGTATAACTTATCTATAGGATTTATGACACTGGAAATATTTTTTTTGCATGTCTCTTGTTTTTCTGTACGAGGTTTTCTAACTGTTCTAATGAAAATTTCATTTCGTTGTCCTTGACTACGAATCAATTTGTTTACTACTTTAGTATTTTCCTGCGGGCATCTCTCCTATATTGCATTTTGAAAACTGAAATTTTTGCATTTCGCTTGATGTTACTACTTATTATTTCTCATTTAAAATATTTTTAATGAGTTCAAAATATCTTTAACATAATAAGAAAATAAAAATGATTAATTCCCCATTCTTCATTATTATTATTGAAATTGCGGGTTTGTTTCCTGTTCAAGACACGAATATTTCTATTATTGTTGTTTGGGGAGCGAACTGTAGCCTCTATTATTTGTGTGGTAACTATAGAAATGACAAAGAAATCATAAACACTCACCATTAAAAGAAACTTGTTGCAAATATTGCTTCAAATCTTCTCCATTAATGTGGGTCATTTTGTCACAAAGTCCGGGAATTCCTTTACACTTTACTTTGTGCATATCCTTGAGGGCGTGCGCAAAGGCATAGGCTGCATCTCTGACGAAGTGTAAGGCGGGAGCTTGTTTGTAACGGGTATCTTGAGAAATATCTTTAGTGGGCGAACACCAATGAGGATAATTGGTATTGTAGGGAGTGTGAGGCGATCCGGATACTTTACAATGAAAAAATTCCTCCCAAAATTCGGAAAACCACGGATTGTGATGATTTGTTTCTGGACTGAGTTTCTTGAAATAGTCGTCGAAACCAGATAAGGGATGAAGAAGAGGAGATACCGTAATAGCGCCTTCTACTACCGCTTCGTGATTTTCTACTACAGATTTTCGACCTCCCCAGGCATCGCTTCCTATCCACACGAATCGAGTGATCGCATTCTTCCTCTTAGCCGCGGCCATTAAATTACGAGCTGTCTGTTTGTCGGCAAAAACCACCACAACTGCAAGAGAAACATTTGAATTAGTGTTTAATCGCTTCTAAAAATATTAAGAAAAAATACTTTTATCTCATACTTTTCTAAATTTTGAATTGGTCAAAGTTAATATTTTGACAAATTTTTTTAGAAAAGTATAAGGGTATTAGCCTATATCGGTACTTAACTAACAACTAAACACGTTGGATACCTACTGATTATATCGTTTATATTTTGTTATTGGGCATATTATATGCTAAAGCGGCTATAATATAGCTAGATAAGCAAACCAATGACATAGTCTGTTTCAAATGAAACGAGCTGTGTCATCGACTCGCTTATGTTCTATAGAATATGCATATTTTGACCACTTGAAGATTATAATTCGCAGAAAATAACACATAAAACATTACTCTTTATATTAAAGGAAGAAAAAGGAAATTTACAATATCACATTCATTCTGTGAATTTTGTTTCCTCTTTAACTGTTCTTTGTTTAATACAGAAGAGATATATAACAACTTATCTCGTGTCTACTTCTACCACATTTACACTCACCTCTGGCATTTGTCTTGTGCATTAAATTTTTTACGACAGTATCGTAATCTGCATCAGAAAAATGGTCTACATTGATGCTTTGTGGACTCGAAAAACAAATGTTATACTCCAGAGCCAGATCTTGCAACTTTTCGTATCCTTTGTTTCCGTAATCGGTGTCCGAATAGACAACGGATACGTAAGTCCATCTGAAAGTCCTGAGTAACATGAAAAAAATAGGAAATTATTGATCTATGAAATGTATTGATTGAAGGTAATAAATTATATTGATTATGATTAATTTATGGAAAATTATGATCATATTCTTACATCGTATTTATGAGTACACTCACGTATAGTTTACCAAATCAATGTTGAATCCTAAGATCAAGATTAAATAAAGATACAATTTTGCAGTTGTTACTTTTACATATCTGCAAAATTGTTTTGTTTTATATAAACTGCATGAAACTGTATTGTTTTATATGGTTTATATAAAACTATATAAAATTGTATTGTTCAGACCCTTTAAAATATGCTTTAAAGTTTTTAGCATGTTTTACATCCTTTCAACAATTCAGATTTCTAATGTTTATGGGCGTCGTCAGAGGAATGGGAAAACGGGGCACTTGCCCTCCTCTGGGATTGAGTAAAAAATTCCACAAATTATAGGATAATCTTAAAAGTGATTGAGATGTATACTTACACCCTCGACCACGGGACGCTTTGTCTATCTTAAAAAAACCCCAAAGTTAAAGAATTAGATGATTATTATTATGATAATTATTATTTGTCTTGGAGTTTACCTTCTGGAAAATTTTCTGCGGAAGTCCATGCTAATGTTTCATACCGTGGTGCAGCGGATTCGATAAAATTACACTTTAGGATGAGTTACAAAGCGTAAATATGTAGAAAAACCTATTTACCTGAGAATATCCAAAATGGCTTGAGCTTGATTAACATCGGAAGGCACAGTTCGGAAAAAATATTCAAACTTTTCTTTGTTACTCAAGGTTGGACTGGTAGATTGATAACTGACCTTTAACAAAGCAAACAATCTTCATTTTAAAAATATCTTCAAAAATAACCGACACTCCAAGTATGTTTGAAATTGCTCACCTGAGGCACGTTAAACAATCTCAACATGTTGGCTAATTGAATGGAAACCGCGCTAGATTGACCTCCTATTACTCCAACGACTCTATCGAACATACCTTCACGATATTGTGGAACCGAACCGTCACTACACGTAAATTGTTGTTCGTCGTGGGCATTTCTTCGCGCGATAAAACCCTTTATGAAATCTAAACTCTGTTCTAGGGCATAAGCGGTGCTATCGCAACTGTCCAATGCTAGAATGCCCAGTTTGATTCCGGGTAGTAGTTCCGGATCGGAATTAATTTTGTTCAAGGTAAAGACGAGAGCCTCCAATTGTTGTAGTCCTTCGTCCTGGAACGATCCAGATAAGTTTAAAGATCGAACTGTAATTGTGGGATCCGAAGATAAACCTTACTTACTTGTAGTTTACCACACTCGAATTTAGCATTTCTTTCGTGAATGGGGAAGAGAGCTCCTAGCATAATGTCACCAGAATAATTACTCATTCTTTGCAGTGGCCATTGGATTGATGCCTTCGTTGCCATCATTGGTAGAAGAGGAAGAATGAACGCGATGGAAAAAATCCTCAGCCATCGATGCATGACGATTATTCCATCTACGGAAATTTCTTAATTAATTAGTTTCATGTAAATTCTTTAGAACATTTAGAATATTGAAAATCAAAAATAATTTTGAGAAATTTTGCTTATACAGTATTCAACTCGAGATGCCCAGTAATGGTCGAATGAATAACACTACTGAGTAGTGTAATAGTTATTGTTCTCAGGTGGGCGCCCGATAGATTTCACGTGATATTTCTGGGCTTTCTGCACGTGTATAACACCTAAATAGGGGCCCAATTTCCCGTAGAAAATCTCGCTGGAAGGTATTTCACCTTGGCAGATCGTTCTCGTTTTGCATCCCAAAAACCATTAAACTAACTCGAGATGAAATTTTTGTTTTCTCTATAACATATACTACATGTGGAAGATATTGTTTTCGTACATTTACATATTAGTTTCATATTTCTACATAGAAAATGATGTTCATATGATGAACAAACATGCCACATTTTGTGTTGTCACGTGATAATTACATCCAGGCCGGTCTTTAGGTATGGGCCTACCGGGCCTGGGCTCAGGGGCCTCCTAACATTCGAGACGTCGAAAATATGCAAAATTGAATAGAGCAACAAGTAATAAAATTATAATAAACAGTAAACAATCAAAAGATATGTTTGATAAATTTTATTAAACATAAATATAACAATACGTTTAGCAGAGAAAGCTAATTGAAAACATTTATGAACATTAATCCTCCATTACGAATTCCGTAAGGGGGCCTCTAAGTGTTTTTTTTTTGCCCAGGGCCTCGCACGTACCAAAAACGGGCCTGATTAGATCATCAGATGATAACACTTAAAATGCCCTAATTTAGAAGATATAAGAAGTCCTTCTTCCACAAACAATAATAAATTTTAAAGACGTGAGGCCCTAAAGTAAATCCTTGTAAGGCCCTAGCTGCAGTTTGTTTAATTTATGTGTAGAATAGAATTTAAGAATTATTCAATAATAAATGAAAATTTTGCTGTTTTCATTTTTAGATTTTATTTTAATAAAAATCGATATATTGTAATTTCTGTACGAATATTTTTTTAAATTAAAAAAAAAGCGTTATTTAATCATCTCAGACAGTTAAAAGTTATGTGAATTGTTAAATAATTAAAAAAAAAAACCTTTAAAATCACATAAATCATTAAGTAAAGTAAATATTTATGGATTTAGGGTAATCTATTGTCAAATTTTAAAATATATTATCAAATAAATGCGTTTTCAATTCATAATAATGCATTAAAATGTGATTATGGTACCATCTGATCCATTAAAAATCTCTAAAGGTAATGATAAATTTCTGATTTTTTAGAAAAATCTATCGCCATAACGCAAAGATATTCCTATGAAAAACTTTCCCTTAAATTAATTGGTGTAATTAATTTCAAGTTGGATAAATAGCGCAAAAACAAAAGATTTGTGTTCAATTTCTAAAAAAAAAAAAAAAAAATTCCTAAAATAATTTAAGAAAATTAGAATTAGTAAACTAAACAGTATTAAATTATAATTAAGTATAAGTTTATTTTGATCTTAGACATTTAAATATTTTAATAACTTTAAAAAAAAAAAAAGACTAATTCGTCCTTCAATAAACTCATTTAATTCAACAAAAATAGTCTAATTTAATTAACAAAAAAGCTATTTTGGCGTATAAAAATGGATCTTAGAAATCTAAAAAAATTATCAATAAATTCTTGTTATTTACTTTATTTTCCTGTTCTTTAGTTTGAGTCAATCCTTTAGCTTCAGAAATCGTCAGAATCTTCTTTCTAAATGAAATCCGAGCATTTAGATAAGAAACAGAAACCCTGTCATTTGATTTCCATCACATTCCCATCCATTCTATATAAGTTTATAGAGAAATTTAATACTTTTACTTATTGAATGATCGCTCTGACAGTACTTAATTCCCTGTATATCTTTTTATCGCCGTTTTCTTGTCACTTCTGCCTGTTTCTCAATGTTATTTTGTTAAAATTTCTCCAAGTTATCGTATTTGGACAATCTAACAAAAGTTGAGTTATAAGCAAAATAGCTATAAATATCATCTATAAAAATATACAGGAGTGTTATAGAATGATATAAATAATGTTAAATTAATAAATAAATCATAAAAAAAATGTAAAAAAGATCAGAAAATGTAACGTAAAAACATAAAAATGGTAGTCAATAATCGCAGAATGTGTTTAAAAACACCATTAAAAATATACGAGAAAATCATTTTAAAGATAGAAAATTTAACGTTGAAAGAGAAAATTCAGAAAATTTGACATTAAAAATAGGGAAAATGTTTTTAAAAAAACAGAAAAATGTTCGAAAAGCAATAGGGGTTGAAAATCTTACGTCATATACATGACATTTCCAATTGTAAAAATGAAATAAATTAATAAGATATAGACTAAAAGTAGCAAAGAAGAGCGTTAAAATAGTGAATATATTATAAAAAACAATATAGAAACAATATTAAATCCTCTACAATACCAAAAAAACACACAAAACAGTACACAAGAAGCAAAATGTGTAAGATAAAAACAGAAAAATGGCACGTTTTTTGTCATTTTAGCATCTTTTAGGTACAGAAAACTATTAAGACAAATCGGAAAGTACGATAGAAAAGACAAAAAGCAGAATTAAGATAATCTAAAGTTAACTTTTATCTAAAAATCCGGATAGTTTATTGCATTTTTGTCAAAATGTCAGCGGTAGAGGACGGCAAATAATCCACATTTCTAGGTAACGCATTCATTTTGGTATGATTCAATAATACGGATGCGCGTGTTTGATACATTTCGTATGGAAGAGTGTGAATTCCACAATTCCTATTCCCTAGAAAATAAGCGAAAGACAATAAGAGTGGCGATTTTTCTAAAGCGTTTTGACAGATGGGATTCGAAAACGAATTTAGAAAAGACAAAACGGAAATGAAACCTTGTGTCGGCTGATCAATCAACCTTAATGAAATTCTTTCCCGGTATTTTAGGCTTCTGACTTTGTCAGGGTTGCTTTTAACTCGAAACGTTTAGAGAAGCCCGAGAGTGGATCTTCGAATAACTCTTAAAGGATATCCGCTATTCCACTCCATCACTCTTCTTCCATAAATCAACAAAATTATCCAATAAACTAGAGTCTAATCACTTCATCTAGACATAAATATCATAACCAAAACACCTGATTTCTGTATTTTACGGCTTTCTCCTTCCTTTGTTTTAGCCTATATATAAAGAATTTTTCTAAGCAACTAAAAAAACCTAAATTCTCGTATTTCGTGACAATCTGGAGAACATTTAATTACTATTTCCATTTCAAATCCCCGTTTTGTAATCACTTTTCTGTTTCATTTTAAATCCAAAATACCGTTTTATATACTCTCCTCCATTTTCTACCTCACCCTAAATCCAAATCCTCGCCTTTTATACAAGAAAAATTACTCAAATTGTTTCTAATTTAAGACAAAAATAAGACGTAAATAAAAACACTTACAAGAATAAGCAAAGTCATCTTGTCCGGTTTGTTTCTTGGTGTGATGAAGCTTCGAAGAAGCGCGTGCAGCTCGGTTGCTGTCGTTCCACAGGAAGTGATGTCAACGATTGACGTCACCGCTTCTCCTCCTCTTTCGACTTGCGGTTTTGATCTGGAGTCGAACTACTCAATTTTTATTCGTCTTAGAACTGAGTCATATCGAAGTGACATTGAACTTCGTTTCCTTCTTTTTATCTAATTCGAAACAATACGAGAACGTAAAGGATGACAATTAAATCTTTGATTTTGATCTTAAACTTTTGAGCCGCAATTTAGGGGTACGCGGCTTAAAAACCTCGATTAAACTAGCATACATGAATCGTTTGATGGACGAAAATTATACTTTTAGTGAGATTTTAATCACAATTAAACAATATTTAATTATTTTCTTTAATAAAATTGCAGGATTTATAATAAAAAAGAATATTTCTTGCATCGCTCGCGAGTTTATTTATCACGCTATGTAACCGGTTATTGAAAAATCATACACGAAAACAATAAAAAAACACATGACGTTGTCTCATTACGTGTTTGTTTTTTTTTTTAAATTTTTTTTTGATGGATAATGTCGAAAAAAAATTTTTAAAAATTAAAAAAAAAATTGTAAAAAGTGTGCTTAAAACCGTGATAAAATGAAGCATTTTGAAGAAAATTCGTGAATGGCAAATAAGAATTAAGTAATATTCTTTTAAAAAAAGAATTCATTCTATTCAATTGAATATCCGTTTACTTCTATTCTATCTTTGATACTGGCAATAGTTTCAATTACTTTTTATTGTTCCATTACTTGAATATCCGTTTCAGAAATTCGTGTGGGTGTTTTAATCGATGTTTCTACCGTCAAAAAAAGCTATAAAATTCAAAATGAATTCATAACCAACAAATTTATGAATATATTTAAATTTTTGCTTTAATAATTAGACTATAAACTCTACATTTTTTAATATTATGCATGAATAAACGTGGCTGTAATCGGTGTTTTTTTTTGATAAATAATAAAAATAATATTGTCCAATCAATTTTTTCCAATCATTGACAAGACGGATGCTGAACAATAACAATATATAAGATGACAAATTTATCCAGAACTAGACGAGACAAGAGTTATTCTTTATCCAAAGTCATCGTGTTCGATTGCTGTACTTAAATCCTAATTTTTTGAAATTATATTATTTTCTATATATAATTAAATATTATATGACGTTATGATGAATATATACTTAAATTTCCGTGATTTTTAGGTGTTATTTCGATGCAATTTCACGCACGAATGGATTTAAATCACGAGATAATTCGATGATTCATAGGACTTATATTCGAGAATTGTATGTAAATGGATAGTGTACGATACTACATAGATGTTACATAGACTTGTATAACGTAGACTTCTCATAGAAACTTCGAAAAAGTCATTTTTATAGACAACTTACACGAATTACTATTTGTATACATAGAAACTGGAGTTTATTAAATAGAATTGTAAGTTTTATGAGGTGTTTAGAAGTCTAATAAGAACTTTAATTTCGTGTTTGTATAATATACGTTTAAATAAAAAATATTTTATGTAATTGTGTATAACATAGTTATGTAAGAGCACAGTAACACATTTAAACATATATTTAAAGGATAATTATTACATAGATTTAATGATTTTCCTTCGTTCTTTTCTGTCACGTAAAATTTTTTTTTAGTTTTTCTTTAACTTTGAAAAATTGGAGTTAAACGACTAGAAAAATACGGATAAAAAAGCAATTTCTTGAGAATTTCATACGAAATAATCTTTATAAAAATAGTACACTATTATATTAGGTAGTAAATCATTTTTTTCTTTTTTTTTGGAGATTTTTGTAATTTTTGAAGAGAGAAAAAGAACCGGATTTATCGATCGACATTACATGCAATTGGAGAAAGTCAATTTTAAACGGAATTCTGCATTTTCGTTTACATTTTTGTGTGTGTTTTTTTTTTCTTTCTTTCTTTATTGGTCGAATGCTCGGGAGTTACTTTCTTTCTCGCTTAAAAAAATGTTTTTTTCCCTCTGAAAATAAACACGAAAGTAATTTAAATGTGAAAGAAAACCGTCGATATTAAAATATCGAAATTTTATTAATAAATTTAGTCAAGCATAATTTGAAATTTTCGACTGAATGGTCCATTAAACTGGCGCGAGATCCGAAAATTTTAACTATGTTTAATCTGCTTAACATTATATAAATTTAAAAATAAAAAATACAATAAATTTCTCATTCAATATTTAATACTCTTAATTAATAAAGTAAATTTTTGGAAGAAGAAGATATTTTAAGTTCGAATAGAAGTGCTTTTTTAGACCCCTTTTTTCAACTCCTCCATGCAGAAGTAATGTTATTAAAGTTGCATTTTGGAAAAACGATTTAAATAAGACCTTCTATAGCTACTACATAGACAAATTTATAATATAAAAATGCGTTTTCAGGATACTTGAGAATATTTTTAGCTTATTTATATTGAAAATGAGTTTTTATAGATTAAATGTGTCTGTATAATAGGTGTAGAAGGACTTTTATACAACCTTTTTTCAAAATGTCCGACTTGAATAACATTATTCCTGCACGAAGGAGTTGGAAAGTGTCTTAAAAAAAGCCCTAATTTTACTAGGTAGACAAATTTAGACTGTAAAAACGCTTTTTAAAGATACTTAAGCGTGTGTTTAATATAAATAGGCTAAAAATATACTTAAGTATCCTGAAAATTCATTATTATAGTCTAAATTTATCAAAGTCTACTAGAAACAAGAACTATATTTCATATATTTGCAGCTTTTATGCTCTATAACGCTGAAAATAAACTCATAGTTACAATATTGGTGAATATCCTGTCGAGAACACGCGAATTTCCCCAATAAATCCAACTTTACAAGTATATAACGCATTCGTCATCTTACCCAGTTTTTAATAAAATGAAGAATTTTGATCTCTGATTTATATGGTATGCCGAGAGAATGAAATATAATAAAGTTTATAAATCATTTTCTATAAAAATCACCAAAAAAAATACATTTTTATAGGCAAAATTTTGTGTTATTTCTATGAAAAACGAAATAACTGACCGTGTTGCATGTGTTCTACAAACAACAATACAAATGTATGAACTAAATATAGAGAAATGAAGTAGAAAAACCAGAGATCAAGGTCAAACTGCAATCGAACTAATATCATGATAAATTATTAAAAACATTAATGAATAATTGTAGAACGTTGGAATTTTTATAAATATTTAAATATTTATACTCGAATCTCTTACATTTTCTACTTCCTCTTGAAATTGTTCTTATCGTAATACATAAAACACTAAAAGGGACGAGATGCCAATTCGCCATCTTACCTCTTCTCGTTAATTTCTTCATATTTTAATACTTTTTTTTAAATATAAAATTCAATATTTTATGTATAATGTGTACTTATAGAAAGTATGTAATAGTGGGGGAGCGAGTCTTACTCTCCTCGACCGAGTCTATTGTGTAACCACTTTAACTTGTTTGAGAAAAGACAATGAAACACTTAAAACATGGCACTCACGAAAGGTCAATTCAGTTTTAAACGGAATATTGCACATTTCTGAAGCAAATTTCAATATAGTTTGCCTTTCATGAGTTCGGGTGATGTCTGTTATCATCCCTTTAAGAGTTTATTGCCTTTCCTCAAACAGATTCTAATGAATTCTTCTAGAAAATGATGTTTCGCACTCTGTTCTGGCTGATTTATCTGGAACTTTAGCTGTGAGTGTACTGTACAGTATGGCATTCAAAATGAAAGGCGGAGAATTTCATCGGCAGTTAGTGTATTTAATGAGCAAACTTTTATTTTGTAAAGAACCAAATGACATTTATAATGATCTATTGCGAAGAGAAACAATGCCAAGTTTGTGTTACAAATTAATAATATTACTAGTATTAAATTTGTATGAATGATGTAGTAATTATCCTTTGAATGTCCTCAGCGTGAGACCAGAATAGAAGAGGAGTCTTCAATGGACTATAATCAAAACTTTTAGAATGTATTTAGAAAATTGATGGGAGTCCTAATTTCTGAACTGATTACTTTAGTAGTTGCTTATATTTTTTTTCGAAATATTCGACTAATTTTTCAAATAAAAAAAAACTTGATTAGAATAATTTTTAAGAAATGAAAATGAAATTCGTTTTCTTGTGTTAACTATATCCATTTGATTACAATTTGTGACAAGAGAGTTCGTCATCTTTGCCCCAACTCCTTAATTTATTCATGTTTAACTACGGGTCCATAGTATTAGAAACATATGACTCGTATCTGTAAGTAGAGTGATTACAGATTTATAAAATCTTGGCTCCATCTTTACTCCTTTACTCTATCTAAATGCTTAAGAGAGGGGTAATACTGTTCGTGTAAATAGATCCATCGTTTTTCTTACGTGTACAACTAACTGGCCATGTCTACCTGGCCATGTGTACGGTGATTAGAAGAGACGTTTCGGGACACGTATTAATCATAAGGGTGAATTCGGACAGCACCATTTTCATCCGACAGTGATCCTCTTCCTCCATTTTCAGGCATCTTCGCATTTGAACAACAGGAACACACAGAGAAGCGCATCACCTGGCTCACTGAAGCAAGTAATACAGAAAACGCTTCTGAGATCTCACAAGAATTAACTCTGAATCGAAAACGGTAAATACGACGAGAGTTATGTAGAAGGTTAACTACTCGATGACAGGAATAAATCAGCAAGGCTTTGTTCCTTGTCTACAGAAGTTGAGAACCAATTTGGGTTTTGTGAACGTAGTTACTTCGATCCCAAGTCTTAAAAACACAGAGATTGGATTCGTTGCTCTGCCTGTTTAATTTGATTTCATGAAAAATGTGTTGACCGAGCTGACTTTGTGGTAAATGCGATTAAACTGAACAAAGGGAGCAACATTTTCCCGAAATACCCCTTGCAATATGCTACATTTCGAAAACAAACAATGTAACCTACTTTTTCACCTAATACGTAATGTGCTATGGTACAGTACTGTGACGTACTGTACGTTTCTTCTTAAAAAAACGACAAAAGTATT